ATACCAATTAAGGTTGATAGGATTTTCAGGGCCACGAAAAAGAGTCCCACAATTCTTGGCATGGTGCATTGATGCAAAGAAGTCTGTATAGTCTCCAATCGCAACAGGTAGAAGCATTTGCACCTTTTCCTGAAGAATTGACCAACACAACACAAGAATCAAGACAACACGAGTTCACTAACAGACATGACATTTCAAAGGGAACACAAGTTCACTAACAGACATGACATTTCCAAGGGATCATGTCTTACCATAGGCAGAAGAGCTATCTGTTTTAAATCAGCATTGTCACGCAATGTTGGTTCTGTGGCTGCACAAGAACAAAATAGAACAATCCAGCTTCAACTTTCGTCAAATCCCCTCCACGTTCAAACTCAATGGGATTACGGTAAGTTTTAAGTATTCCATCTTTAGAGGAGGATTATAGTATCAAGTCCCCCTCCTTGTGTACCTCATTTTTATTAATTTATGAAATTCCCACCCAAATATCTGATTCCAAAACCTGGGAGGTTGCCCAAAAAATGATGGACCTCAGGTAATCCAATACCAGAAATTGCAGGATAGATTGGATGGAGGTTTTTAATTGAATAAACTTATCATCTTTTAGATTTTAATAACATGTTTTCAAGTGACATAGGAAATATTTCCAAAATGACTAAGGAGAATGTGGTTTGAGTTACTGGTTCAAATCTAGATTTTCTTATGTGTATCAAACAAGTGTGAGGGTTTATGCTTATGATTTGATGATATAACCTCCATCCAAATATGCAGGGGATACCTGATAACAGCTTTTGCAATGTCACCCGAGCTTCCTTCCATGCAGGTCGTCCCAATCCAACAAACTTGTTCAAGTTAGGCTGCAAATGAAATTGCATAAATTACTTATGATCATCACAGTCTCTCAACCTTGCCATTAGCAGAGATTATCCACAGCACCCAGTGTGTCAATTACACGAGGCTCGGTGGCTTACCATAATTATATTGCTAGGCAATTTCCTATTACAACTTGAAATAATGGCAGACATTTAATTTGAGATGAAATCCAATTAGTGGACTGCCATCAATATAGTACATGTTCTTTGTCTTTTTTGGGCCATAAGGAGGACATAACTCGAGAAAAAAGTAAGGGATACTTTACACATTGCAGAGTACAACACTCACAAGTCACGATAAATCAAAACAAGATGCATCACTTTCACAAAAATAAGACAGAACAAACAGTTGAAAATAACAAAAAAGGAGCTCATAAATCAATGAAAATTAGTTAGAATTGAGCTTGATAGCTAGAAAAGTATACACTTCCATCCAAACAATAGGCAACACCGAGCAAAAAAGCAAACGAACATTACCTTAAAACTGAACTTAACAGTAGGAAAATTGCTAAATGTACAACCAACCAGAGCACAATAGACACTGACTACATCTTCAGAACTGAATGAAAATGAGTACCTAACAGAATTGACAACCACAATATTTTCACACTTACTGTTAAACTTGAAGTTAACAGTAGGAAATTCTCTAAACATACAACTAATCAAGAGCACAATATCACTTACTAAAATTTTCAGAACTGAATGAATACGAAAACCGAACAGACCTATGTCATAACTCCGAATACAGTAAATACATGCAAAATAAAATTATTCGCCTTCTACGAAACTAATTGTCAATGCATGACGGAAAATCAACACATAAAATCAACGAAAACTAGCTAAAACTGAACTTACCAGTCGGAAAATTATACACTTCCTTCGAAACAGTAGGACAAAATATAGCACAAAAATCAACGAAATTACCTTAAAACTAAACTTAGCATTAGGAAAATTTCTAAACGTACAACCAAACAGAGCACAATAGAACACGAACAGACCTGATTGAAACAATCGGAGTTACTGAGCAAAGGACCGTCAAATAAACCGGCGAAAGCAATCTCCGATAAGTCCAAAACATATTCTCCGATAGCGACGCCCGGTCGAGGTAGTGAACCCGGTTCAGGCTTGAATACACCGTACGGCAGGTTCTCGAGAGGGAAGTGAGATTCCGGTTCAACTTCAACAAACGACTTCAACACCATGACGACGCCGATGAGGAGGAAGAGAGAAAAACGACGACGTTAGGGAGCTCGAGTATAGAGTCGAAGTGAAAGTGACGGTGGTGATGAAAGCTAAGAAGAGAATTTATAGATGACGAGAGAAAATGGAGTACGATTTTTTTGTTTTTTTTAGAAAATGAATTGGACGGTCAGGATTGCGAGTTGAGAAGTAGTAAGTAGGATCAATGGTGGTTGTCACCTGTCATTCAAAGGAGCAGTCCTCCTTTTTCGTCGCTTGAGGAAAAAGTGAAATCGAAATGGTTTATCTGAGACATAAGTTATGGATAATTTTATAAGATGTGCGAGATTGAAATGTTTCATCTGAGATGTTGGTTATGAAAAAATTTAGAAGAGGTAAAATTAGATGAAAAAATATACAAGGGTCTTATATTTTAATATTTTTAATGTACTTACTAATAATATTGTACATTACTCGAATGTGGATAGATATAGCAAATGAAAAGGAAGAATAAGTCATTTCTCCTCTTATGCAAAAGAAATTGAGCTCAACAACTTCTACTTTTGTGCCTATAGTAGTAGTGTCAAGTTAGTAACTCTCCGACAAGGTTTGTCATCATCAACAAATGTTGCTACAATCTTAAGTGGTCATTTGGTGAGTTCTAATATTGAAAAAATGACTTTTCTTACACCTATAACACTAACAAATAACTACAAGTTAGTGATAGTAGTACTTTGTCCCAAAATAAAATTTCTAACCTAGATGATGAGGACATCTCTGAGGAAGTTGAGGAAGAGGAAATGTTGGATTATTGTTTTACAAATGCAGCTAGGAATGCAGATGTTTCTCCCAGGCAACAACGCAATAACAAAACAAAGCATGAAAGAAACACAGTTGGGATGGTAAAGTGATTGAAGAGTTTGTTCCAGGCACCTATTCGCGAGAAAAACTGCGGGACTATACGTAATGTTTCCCCAACTCATTACGGAGGTCCTTATATAGTTTTTCCAAAAAAAAATGTGGGGTACCCCAAAGGTATCAAATTCATGGACTTATACACACGAAATCAGCGAAAGTCGGGTAATTCCTATAATTTTGCTCGTAAATGAGAAAATATGCGTATAAAAAACGGCAAGACTATATGTAATGCTTCCCTAACTCATTACGAAGGTCCTCATTTCAGATTTTTTTTTTGAAATTGTTCATAAATTGAATTCGATGAATGAGTTTCATTCATTGTTAGTAATCTTCAATGCAATTTTTTCTCCCTTGGTAGCATTAACTAAACTATTAAGTAACAGACGTTTTCTATCATTACACAAGAACACTTTATTGCATATATTTCCATTAATTTATAAATTTAACTATTCCCACATAAATACACATATCTCAAGCATAGGCTAATATACACGAAAAATAGTGTATATACAAAAATATTTGTGAAAAAAAATGACGGGACTATACGTAATGCTTCACCAACTCATTACGGAAGTCCTCATATAGATTTTTAGAAAAAAAATTGTGGGTCAAGAAAAGAAAAACAGATGGGGGATTAACAATCTGGAGATTCGAACATTCACCGATAAAGTTAAATTTTAGGTAGTTAATCAATTACGAAGATTCTCAAAAAATTAAGCAATTAATGTTGAGTATAAAAAGAGAAAAATAATTTTCTTTTATTAATATGATAAAAGTAATAAATAAAAGAAAATAAATATATTTTAAAAATAGTGGACAAATAAAATTAAACGGAAGGGGTAATAATGTAATTTCACCAATAAATAAGAAGAGACTGAAAATTGTACATAAATCGCATTCGTCGAATGCGTTTTATGCCTTATTTTCTCAGTTTTTTCTATTTAAGCATCTAAGAAGGATTTTTTCAAGTTTTCAACGCCATGATCTTTTTTTAAAACACAAAAAATAAAATTGTAGGTCCAGAAAAGAAAAATAGGGGAGGGGATTAAAAATATGGAGAATCTAACATTCATCGATAAAGTTGGGTTTAAACTTAAACGAAAGGGGTAATAATGTAATTTCACCACTAAATAAAAAGTGATTGAAATTTGTACATAAATCGCATTCGCCGAATGCGTTTTATGCCTTATTTTCTCAGTTCTTTCTATTTAGGCATCTAAGAAGGATTTTTGAACGGCATGACCTTTTTTTAGAACACAAAAATGAAATTGTGGGTCAAAAAAAGAAAAAATAGGGGAGAGATTAAAATTGTGGAGAATCGAACATTCACCGATTAAGTTGAGTTTAAACTTAAACAAGAGGGGTAATAATGTAATTTCACCAATAAATAAAAAGAGACTGAAATTTGTAAATAAATCGCATTCGTCGAATGCGTTTTATGTCTTATTTTCTCAATTCTTTCTTTTACAGGTGGTAGAATTCTAGACCATGTAACCTTGCCAACTCAAGCAGCCTGGAATGAAGATTGCAATGGCGAGGGTCAGTTACCTACCATAAGTAGGGACTCAGAGAAGACTGTAAACGACTTTTCGAGGAAAGACAAACAAAAGTGTGAACCTACTCTTTTCAAATTGCAATTTGTGAGATTATACAGGTTATGTTGTGTTGTTATTATTCTTTCCTTATTATGTACTTTTAGCATACCAAGAGTAAAACATATTCTACTTATTTTTATGTTAAATATTTAACATTAATTGCATATTACTTTTTTTTCTTTAAAATTTAAGACTAGACATCAATTAATATAAATATTATTATAAAATACTTATGTATATTAACTTGAATTCACAATTATGAACTCCAGATATAGAAAAAAATCTTCATAGTGAGTGACCTTCGAATGGTCTCTATCCAACGTAAATCCAAACTAATCGATCTCCAACATGAATACTGTGGTGCCAAAATAGCAATTTCACAAACTTGAGGTGCTCATCATACCATAACCAGAAAATCTCTCCGCATTCTCGTGATTCCATCTATAAATACCCGTTTTCCCCTTCAATCAATTCAACTGATTTCTCATTCGCTCTTCAATCTCCTCTCGATCTAACGAACACTCCTTAACGAGAAATCAAATTGAAAAAACTTCAACTACTGAATCAAAATCCACAGTAATTAACGGTGATTTTCCAACGATTTTGTCAGTTTCCCCAATTCGAATCGCTTATACGGAACCCTAATTCTGATGAAATGAATGATTTTTAGCTTTTTTTGGATTTGCAGGGACAGTAATGTCGATAGATTTGATTCTGAAACCTTCATGTAGCAGGTGTGGTTCATCCTCGGATCTGTATGGAAGCTCATGCAAGCATTTGACTCTCTGTTTGTCTTGTGGTAAAAACATGGCTGAGACTCGTGATAAGTGCTATGAGTGTGGAACTCCAGTTACACGATTGATTCGAGTATGTTTCCTGTGTTGAATTTTGCTATGAGTACTGTAATTTGGGTGAAAAGTTTTGTGTATAATATGCTAGACAGTATCTGAAACTGGAATGAAATGAGCCTGCATATAGAGAGAGGGGGAGTGTGTCAAGGATTTAGGAAGAAGATACCTCATGTTTTCTACAAATAAGTAAGGGTATGCCAGTTACACAATTGTTTTGAGTACAACCAGTGTAATCCCACAAGTGGGGTATGGGGTTATGGGTAGAGAGGATGCAAACATTACCCCTACCTTGTAGAGAGACTTTACACCTACAGGTTTGTTTCGAGTATGTTTTCTATATTGAACTTTCCATGAGTACTATAATTTGGGTGAATTTGCACCCAAGGATGTGGCATAATGGTCAATGAAATGAGTTGAGAACCATGAGGTCTTAGGTACGAATCCCATCAGAGACAAAAATAAAGTACTATAGATGATTTCTTCCTATATGTTCTAGCCTTGGTGGATAGTTACCTCGTGTCTGTTACAAGTGGGAGGTGGGATCTATCCGTGGAATTAGTCAAGGTGTGTTAAAAATGGCTGACATCATGATTATCAAAAAAATATATATTAAAAATTAGGTGAATTTATCTGTGTATTAACTTACTAGTATTGGAGTGAAATGAGTCTACATAGAGAGAGGAGTATGTCACGGATTTAGGAAAAAATATACCACATATTTGTTACAAATAAATAAGGGTATGCACAACCATGAGCGGAGCTAGGTACCACAATGGGGTTCATCAAAAAACCTTTCTGTATATACAGGGTCAATTTTTATTTTTTTATGTATATATAGTAGTTGAATACCTTGGACTTTGTATGTTTACTTTTTGTATATATATTTGAATTTCCTTCGCAAAATTCTGCTTTTGCTGGCAGCAGCATAACATATGTACATTACATAAAATTTTGTCAATCAACCATGGTTAGTTAATGTCTCAATTGTGACTAGGCTTCCTCTTAGAGTTATATTCTTTCTCTTTGGAGCAAAGACATGGTGCACATGGGTTTCTGCAGAGTCTTCATATTGTCTATCCCAACAAGTTTGGGATTGGAGCGTACTGCATAGTTGATAGATGCTAGTAGTTTCTCTAAGTATTTGCCAGAGTTTGTGGGTACCTTTGGGTTCTTCGTAATTGAAGCATTATGTTCTTCGTTCTGTTTAAGGCAATTGGCTAGGTGGACATAATCTAGGTTTTGCTTATGCAGAGATATCTGTGTGGTTGAGTTTGATGGTGTTTATTCGAGAGTGCAGCGACCATAAGGGGATGCTAGTGGTTTCTTACTGCAGTTGAGAAATTCAAAACATTGTGAATATAGGAAGCCAGTCACGTATGCCTTTTACTCGTGCTAACTATTAAGTGATAAATAAAATTGTATGGCAAAAACGACTAACTTTTAGGCCATCTTCCAGAACAGGGGATTACTTTGTCACTCAACAATGTAGAGTTGCGTGTGTGTAAATAATTGGAGAAATGATTATTAAAGTTGATGTTTTGATCCATCTAGGTTGATTCACCTTTTTATTCTGTAGGACTCCTTTGATAAAAATAGATTCACATTTTGTTTTCCTATGGACTTTAAAGTAAGCTATGCTTGGTAGAAGATGTTTGACACATATAGGTAGGTTACATCAGTATACTATCCTCCCGTTACCTTATTTTAACCCAAGCACATTATCCTTTCCTCTGTTCCTCATTCAAGATCAAGAGTTTTTGCCTCCCTATACTTCCTTCACTACTTTTCTTATATTCATCCCTTGCTTCTCTAACCTTTTGGCTATCTTGTTATCCTTGTTTCCTGATTATGTTCTCATTTGCTAAACACAACTATTTGCGACACCGGTATAACAAATCTGTCTTGATTTATATTGGTTTTATGCGTGAACTAGTTCCTTCTTACCTTTGTTAAGATTATCTGAGACCTGAACAACGATAGAATAATAGAAGGATGAGGAATATAGGCAGTATGGTATTGCCTAGAGAGACTAAGCCTTGCTGAATTAAGGTTACATTTGTTGATCTGTCACAGATGTTTGAGAAGCAAATATAACCCCTTTCTACTTCTCCAAAATATTCAACTTTTACCCCTGTAGAATGTTGAGTAATCGGTGGATTTATTGATGGATGCAGTTATTTCATGAGCATGACTGATATCAACTTTGTAAAGGCTGATGCATTTAGCAGATGAAAGAGGTAAAGTGTGTTAGACCAACTTAGGATGTGCTCGCCGCTGCCTTCTGAATTGACGTTCTTATCTTTTTGCTCCTGAATTGATTTGATTTGCTCTATTTTGTTTCCAAAATATTTAAGTGAGCATCTTAATTGTGTTAATGATATCAATTTGGTGAGACCACACTTTTGGTAGCTAGTGCTGACTGTAGTTTTCTTGTCAAAAGCATTCAATGTGTGTCAATTCATGAAAGATATTGTCTTTGATACATTCTTTTCTTTATCCATTGTGCAAAATTTGGTATAAGACTCTGGCTATCGAAATTATGTTTATGTGCAGGAGTATAATGTTCGGGCTTGCTCCAGCAATGACAAGAATCATTTCATTGCTAGATTTGCTTCAGGCTTACCTAAATTTTCAAAAAAAAAGAATGACAGTAAATGGACTTTACAAAAAGAAGGTTTGCAAGGACGTCAAGTTACAGATACTTTGCGGGTATGAAATATATAGTAATATCATCTCCGTTTGCATCAATTGCGCACATGTGTGTGTGTCTCTGTATGTATTTCCACTAGTTTAAAGGGAAAATTGCAATGTCTCCTTATGCTTATTTTAATTTTGTTATATATGCATGTGTGAGAATCTGCTTGATGCTGAAGGGATATCGTACAACCTATTCCATGAAGCCTCTTTTGCAGAAGCCTGAGAAATATAATTAGATTAGATAGGAGGATTCAACATCTAGTTATTAGAGGAGCATCTTTACTGTGAAAATGTAATAACTAATTAAGAGACCACATGCTCAACATCTTGGATCATAGTTATGCTACTATGGATGGCTGTTGTCCTGTTCTTGTCAGATTGTAATCTTTAGTGGCAGGTCTTATATGTTCATTTATGACTTTTATTTTCTATGAAATTGCAGGAGAAGTACAAGAATAAACCATGGCTATTAGAGGATGAAACTGGTCAATTTCAGTTCCATGGTCATCTCGAAGGAGCACAGTCAGCACAATATTATCTACTGATGATGCAGGGTGAAGAGTTATTTGCTATTCCTGCTGGTTCTTGGTATGCACCTTAGTTTTTGTTGTTTCTGTAGCTTTGACTTCCAAAATATTCTTTTAGATCTTGGATTTGCATTTATTCCTTCTTTTTTTCCATTAGGTATAACTTCAACAAAGTAGCCCAATATAAGCAACTTACTCTGGAGGAAGCAGAAGAGAAAATGAAAAATAGAAGAAAAACTGCTGATGGGTACCAGAGATGGATGATGAAAGCAGCAAATAATGGGCCTGCTGCCTTCGGTGAAGTAGAAAGATTTGATGACAAAGAAGGTGGATCTGGTGGGACAAGGGGGCGTAAGAAAACTTCTGGTGATGAGGACGAAGGCAATGCATCAGACCATGGGGATGAAGATGAGGAAGAGGAGGCTGCTAGGAAAAACAGGTTAGGACTCAACAAAAGAGGCATTGATGATGATGAAGAGGGTCCTAGAGGGGGCGATCTTGACCTCGATGATGATGATATTGAAAAAGGTAAGACTTTCTTCTTCCTAGAATGCTTTGCCGATTCGACCCACTGATGTAATTATCTAGTAATCTATGACCTGCATTTTCATTTTCATTCTAAATGGTTGGAAACCTCAATATCCTTCTCTGTCTAGCTCTCAGCTAGCATTATAGAGCTCTCCTGGGATTTTTCTCGCTGAAATCATTGTTTGGAACTGTTTATATCGTTTTCTTGTAAATTAATGTCCACGAATTACCGCAGTTCACAATTATCTATTCTCCTTTCTTGGTTTTAAGAACTTGAAATGATTTCTAACAGGAAAATGTCTATAATTGCTGTTTTGATTCTAGAGTGGGACTTTATTCATCTTTGGTTCTGTTTTTTGGTTCTGAGTGCATTACGTCGTTTCTTCACCATTTGATCAGCTTCTGCTGTCAGATTTCTTTTGTTTCCGCTGAAGGGTTCTCCTTTCTTTCTAGGGGATGACTGGGAGCATGAGGAGATTTTTACGGATGATGATGAAGCTGTTGGGAATGATCCTGAGGAGAGGGAGGATTTGGCTCCTGAAATTCCTGCTCCTCCAGAGATTAAGCAGGTCAGTTATTTGTGGAATTTTGGAATTCTGATAGTAAATAACTCTACATCAAGCTGCACCCAGCAGGACTATGTAACATGTATTTGGGTTATAAAATTTATTGGATAACTAGCTTATCCAAAAAGCTAGTGGCATATATTTATTGTACTAGTATTCTTTACGCACTTTGCACGTGTACCTTTATCAATGAGTATATTTTTAAAAAAAATTACATAAATAACCTGTGTCTGATCAATATTTCGTGGATGGGCTTTATGCTTTAGTGGTAGGCGTGTTATGTGTACGCGTCTACCTCATATGTATGATAACAAACTTTTTTTAAAGTGACATAAGCATATAAATGTAGTACCTGGATATGTGTGTTGCATGTATATCTCATACATGTTAATTAATACATAATTTGTGTTTGATACCTTTTCTATGAATACTAATAATGCTCTTGATTATGGACCATTGCACTTGTTTGTGGTCCGTAAGATTTTGGGGTTATAACATTTTGCTCTTAGGAAGAGCTGAACCTTTATATGTGAATGAGATCTTATTTGAGTACTTGTAACTTGGACAGAGATTCAGTAGGACTATGCATTGAGGAAGCGTTTTCGGGTTTATTTTCTACTTTGTGCATTAACGCTCTTTCTCTACCTCGTATAATAACTTTTGTCCTTTCTTCGTGTGGCTCAGGATGAAGATGACGAGGAGGAAGGTGAAGAAGAGGGAGGTGGTTTGAGCAAATCTGGAAAGGAGCTGAAAAAATTGCTTGGAAAAGCCAATGGATTGAATGAATCAGATGCTGAGGATGACGATGATGATGATGATGTAAGTTTTGTTTTATTATGGGTCATTAAGGCAAGGTTTCTTTTACTTTTCGTGTTAGAAGGTTGATAGAATTATTTCTTCTTTTTGTATTTGCTGTCTATGCCAAGAGAGTTACATTTAGGGGCAATAAGCAGGCTCTTAAACTTCTCATAATTCTGTTTTCTCACTCCATGATTTTTTCTTCCGCCTTTATTAGACAGAAGAAGATATTTCACCTGTATTGGCTCCTAAGCCGAAGGAAGCACCTAAAGAAGAACCGGTTGAGACCAACAGTCCTTTGAAACCAGCTGCTTCTGGATCCAACCGTGGTACTCCAACTTCAAAGTCAGCTAAGACTAAAAGAAAAGCTAATGGAGATGAGTCGAAACCAACTAGTGGTGCTCCCTTGAAAAAAGTGAAAACAGAGACGGTAAGTGACTACTATGATATTTGTTTGTTTATTTCATGATGTGGTAAGATTCTATCTAGGCATATCAAGTTTCACACTCGCCAAGAAAACCGCTTATTACCCCCTACTGTTCAATAAAACTATGATTTTGGGACTACTATTAACCAATTCCTTGATATTCTAAGGAGGGATTATTTCCTTTCTCTTATTATGTTATTGCTGCCGATCTCTTTCTCTTCACATCGTGCAGGATGCCAAGCCTGGGAAAGATGAAACCCCATCTACTGCAAAGAACAGTGCTCTTTCAAAGGGTGCATCATCCTCTTCCAAAACTGCTCCAAGTCCAGCCACAGGTCCTGTTACTGAAGATGAAATTAGAGCTGTTCTACTGCAGAGAAAACCAGTGACCACACAGGATCTTGTCAGCCAATTTAAATCTCGTTTGAAATGTAAAGAGGTATGACCAGGCTAGTTTGTTGAGATAGATTTGTGACCATTGTGACTCACTGACATATAGTTTAGGCTTGTAAATGCAAGTGAAACCTGAAATAAAAGATTTGCGGTTTGGCCACAAATAAATTTAGGTAAGAACTTGAAAAAAAAAAAACTTGGGAACTATTGTTTGGCGATATAATTTGTCAGTACTTGACAAATATATTTGGCAAACATCCTAAGTTCCCAAGTTTTAGAAAAAACTAGAATTTGGGTTAAATTGTAGTATTTTATTAGAACATCCATCCTCTATTAATAGCTATTTACAACCAACTCCATTAAAAATAACAACTTGTTTTTAATGGGTTATAATTTATCCTGAATCAATGACACATTTGAGTATGCGATTATTGTATTGCTCTTGCCCATTTCGTTGTTTTTATTGTTGTTGATTGTCATCAATTGTGTTATAAGGTTATTTTTTAATGGAGCATGTTCATTATAAAATGATAAAAAGACAAATTTATGGGTAATTTTAATAATTTTTAGAACTTATGGGTATAAATTACATTTTCTTGAAAAAGCCAAATATTTCTCCCAAAATACACGGTAAGACTTCACCCAAAAATGACTTGCCAAAAATACTTGGAAATTTGTTGCTAAATGCTAGTTTACTGACTTGAGATTTTTGTTGCTGACCCTATGCATCTGGAAAAATGTATAGCACAATTAGATGCCCCCAGTGTAACAGCATGTCAGCCAAGTTTAAGAACTCTTTTTACTTCTTGTGAGTTCCTTCTTCCCTTACGCGACTGCATTAATTACATTGTTGCAGGATAAGGCTGCTTTTGCTGAAGTATTGAGGAAGATCTCCAAGATACAGAAGACTACTACAGGAAGTAGCTATGTCGTGTTGCGAGAGAGGTGAATGAATGCTTATTTCAATGTCTATGTTTTTCGCACGTTGGCAACTCCATGATTTTGTAGTTTCTAAGTAATATGTCTTTGTTTTGTATTTGACAGGACAAATCAATAGGACAAACCAAGATAACATTGGCTACAAATTGGTCAAGATCTGGAGAATTTGGAAAAGAAACTGTATTTTATGTTTTGTTTGACGTCTAAACGTTATATAATGAGCAAGCTTTACTTTGCTTGTAATAGTCTTGAATGATTGTCGTTGTAGACAAATGAGCCAAAATGGGCAGTAAATCTGTGCCATGGGTTGGATAAACTCGTAGATAGATGTTTTCCTAGTTGAAAATTCGTATATAATTAAAGAACTTTTATGCAAGTTAGCCTTGTTTATTTACTAGCATGACTAATATCCACATTATTAGTATCTACACAATTTTTACCACTCAAAATGTATAAGTTCAACTCATTACATTAAGAATCTGTTTGATTATGAGAATTCTTGATAACGATGATATGAATCCGCATTTAAGTATCCATAAGATCCTAGAGCCTAGAAGTGACTGTTATTCTTACACTAGGATCTTATAGCCATTCTAGCAAGTAAAGATCAAAACAGAGCTCCATTATGAAGTAGAGTTTTAGGATTACATATAAACAATACATATCGCAATAACATGTAACAAGACATAATATCAATAAGAGATGGAGTTTCAATCAAATACTAAATAAGAGCAACATATTGCAATAATAGCGTAACAAGTAAGGAATTTCAATTAGATACTAAATAAATGCTACATATATTACAATAAGAGATTGTTACATGATTTTTGAAGAAAAGAGAAAAGTGTCTCTTAAGTTATATCTAAACAAATGTTAATTAAGTGATTTCGGAGAGATCAAACTCTCTGTGTAGACCATTCCTTGCTTAAATGTATGACATTGAGGCAATAATTCAAATGGCTCTCTGGATGTCCTATAGATGGAACTAAGAACTCCAAAATAATTGAGAGTATTTTTGAAGAGTTTTCTATAATGACCCATTTTTTATCTCATTCTTCTCTTCCTCTCATTCTCCATTTTAGTCACTTTATTTCTCACCACCATTAAAATAACAAAATTTATAATGAAAAATATAACAAAGCTTTCCTTATCTATAAATCTTCTTCAACGTAAAAAATTCACTATGAAAGAAAAAAATGAATGATTAGTAGCAAAATAGATGAAAAATATGGGAAGAGAAGAAAAAATGGAAAGAAATCAAGAAAGAAATGATTTTGGAGATTAGTTTGAGAATTCTTTTTTAAAAAAATTATTTGTAATTAAAAAAATGATGTGGCAATATATTTCTGATGTGGATAGTGAAGTGTTATCTACATTAGCGCGATTGGGAGACCCACATGATCAGAGGGGTTTAAAATACTGTGCTTTAATAACTTCAAGTGTTCAATTGGCAAAATCGTGAGTAGAAGGATCCAAGTGACAAACAGAGCCAAGTACAAGAGTCTCTCAGCTCATTTCGCCTATTTAATATTAAGCCTTGAAAATCATTTGAGAAATCCATCTATACGTACTATCTTAGAAATGTTGATTTTACTTTTTACCCTTTGTCAACATTAAGATTTTGTTGGATTTAAATCTATAAATTAATTTGTACTATATTAAATTCAAGAAAATAGTTCAGGTTATGTGACAATTTAAGTCAAATTAAATGAACCGCTAGAATCATGACATATGTCAAACTTATGTGGTAATTTAAGTCAAATTAATTAAGCCGCTAAAATTATGCCGCATATCAAAATTATGTGGCAATTCAAGTCAAGTTAAATCAGTCATTAAAATCATACCACGTGTCAAAGTTATGTAACAATGCAAATCAAATTAAATGAGTCACTAGAATCATAACATGTGTTAAAACTATGTGGCAATCCAATTCAAATCAAATGAGTCACTAGAATAATGTCACATGTATATCTATTATATTCCGACCAATCAACTCAAAGCTTTTCACAGAAGAATGTGATTGGTCAGTTCAAATCGACCAATCAAATCTCATAGGTATACCACTCCCTACAACTATAAATAGGGTCCTCATTATTCTCAAAATGTTTTTTTTTTCAAGAACAAGAAGCAAGAAAAGAGCTCGTGGTTCAAGCAATCAAGTTCAAAATCAAGAACAAAGGCAAATATTAAGACGTTCAAGATCAAGTTACTTGTTAATATTCATTATTCGTCGTAATCATACAAGTGTTCGTGACGAATAATTTAAATTCAAGATCGAAGACGAAGATTCAAGATCAAGTTATCCAACCCTTGACTCTAAATCAAATTCAAATAAACATATATCATATTATTTAAAGAATTAGAGAATTATCGTAGAGATTATAATGTGCGCTACATTTTGAAATCAAATACTACACTTTGTTACTCCGATTTTCCTATCTCGATTATTTATTTTTCTCGATTCGAAAATTTGTCGTATACACCCTTCATTAAAAAAACTCTATAAAACCGTCATTTGCTAAATATTTTAATTTATTTATTATCCTAATATTTAAGTCTTTGAAATTAATTAAAGTATAATTATTAAATATTTATTTATTTATAATAGCTAAGAACTCTTAATATTTAATATTTTAAAATTGAATAAACGTTTACATGTTAAATCTTTTCATATTGAAACTATATTATAAATATTTTCCTTAACTAAACAATGTAACACAACTAGGGATGGCAGTGGAGCGTGGCGGATGCAGGGTGAGACAGTTTTAAGGCTCTGATGGGCGGGGTGATTTTAAGATTGTGCGGAAAGGGTTGGATGCAGGCTGGGTTGAAGTGGGTTTTTAGAAGCCAATGTGGGGTGGGGCGAGGCGGGTTACGGGTCTATACGATTTTATGCGGGTTCAAACTTAATTTTAACTTCTTACATGTTATAACTTATAAGAGTGATAGAATATTATTATTTATTAAGATAATTTCTTTAAAGTTATTCGGTTGAATTTTAACTAATTATATGTTATAATTGAATTTTTCTTCTTACATGTTATAACTTATAAGAGTGATAGATTATTATTTATTTTTTATTAAGGTTTTATGGGGGTTCAAACTTAATTTTAACTTTTTACATGTTATAGTTGAATTTTTCATATTTGGTTGGTTAAAATCTTTGCAAAAGTTTTTCTCTAGAAAATAGGTTTTTTGTTCTTTTGAAAGAGGAAATCACTTCTATGGTAGACGTATGGAAAACAAGTTACACATGTGACACTCTACATCGATAATGTCTTCCTCATTTTCCATCTTCATTCCCACCACCACCGCACACCCCTATCCTCCATCTTCACCTCTCGTAATATTTGTCTAAATTATATACAAACTAGGTAACTTGTCCGCGCTACGCGCGATTATCAAATATTTTATTTATGACGTACATTATATTTATTATCAAAGATTAAAATTCTGTGGATATCAAAGACCTATCAAGCTTGGAGGCAATAACACCGTCTTCACTCTGCTTTGTATCTGAATTTTACACTTGTCTAAAGAATCAAACTACCACTTAATCTATATGATAACCAGAGGAAATAGAATATATTGTTTAAGTAAAATATTGAATTCATTTAAGAATGTTTGTTGATGATAAAACTCGAGAATTTCAGCATGTTCTTATTAATTGATAAACTCACATTTAAATTATCCAATTATAATAGTAATAAAATAAGTTTATCCTTGCTTAAAATTATTTCCATACAATTGATACTCTTCTATTGAAGAATAAATCTTGACACTAAACTGTAAACATAAGACACAAGAATTTCAATTTAACCAAACAATTTACAAACACTAAAATCAATCCATCTTAATATGCAGAAATAACCAATAAAAGTAATCAATATCAATATAATAAGATAATTTTCCATTCAACATCCATATCCAATCCTTTTTGATAATTTAGCACGTGTTAATAACTATACTCATAAAAAAATCTGCTTACATAAAATGGCAAAAAATAATGTAAAGACGAGAGAGAATAAAAGAGAGAAAAATAAACATTAATGAAACTACAACTTAATCCAGCAAGTGATTTTTTTTTGTTGATTAGTGGAGTCGTAAGGATAACGAACGAAAAAACTCAAAATCAACCTAATATGTCATCGATAACAAAAGTAGTTATCAAAAATTTTGGTTTGTATAATTTAGATACAAAGAAGAGACGAGATGAAGAAACAAAAATTTCAATGTGATAATTTATAGATATTATTGGTAACTGATGTGTAGTTGAAGAGATAAAATAATATTTTAAAAAATTAATGTGCATATAAACTTTTAACTTATGATTACCGTTACTAATCTCCAAAGTTAATAAACTTTATGTCGTTACTGCAAATTAATGTGTCTTTATATAGGTATATAATATAGGAGTTTCAAGAAATGAAATGAAATGAATTAAAATATGGTCAATTGATTATTTTTAATGTTTTGTAAATATTTTTAAGTGAAATTATGTATTTTAAAATTAGATAAAAAGCCAAAAAAATCACAAAAAAAGATAAATAGAATTCTAGCCCTTAGAGCGCGCCACGTCACCGTTTTCATATTCAGCTTTATATATATATATATATATATAGATGCTTCTAGGATAATAATTTTTGTTTGCCTAACAAAGTTATAAGTAAAAAACATGCATATTTATTTTCATATAAATCATTTTCTAAATTTTTATTTTAATCTTACCAAACACATTCTAAGTAATTACTAATCACATATTCATAGTATTGCATACTAAAAGTTGAATGCGCTCTCGGTTCATGAATAACGGATATTGCCAAATGATAAATTATTTATATTCATGAAACATCATAATATTAGATACTTAGAGCAACATATTATACACATATAAAGTACTACTATTTACACATTAACGAAGGATGATTCATTTTTTCCAATAGTCATCAATGTTCTTAGCTTTTTTTAAACAAAAAATCATTACGGATTAATTTAGTTATTTATATTTTAAAATTTTAAATTTAATATGAAAATATTTTTATTTACCAAAAAAATAATTATTAGTACTCTATGTAATTATTTAAGAATAAAATAATATTAAAAGCAAATAACAAATCTCTATTGATTTGTTAATAAACAAGTGAAGGAAAATGACCAATCAATCAAGTAAAATGGAAGAAAGAGTTTATGTCATGTGTTAATAAATAAAATTTTAATATTCAATTATGAT